CGTCCACCTCCATCTTGGCCGTGGCCTCTTACCAATTTTCACACTACATATATTAGTACACTTTAAACGTTAAATACATGAACAAAATAATTTAAACTCCTGCTCTCCAGGATCCTCTTCGATTCCTTTCTCAAGAGAGGAAGCACCGCCTGTGATGCTGCTGTGGATGCTCACAGGCACCACATGGGACGGGCTCAGGACCACGCTGGGGACCAGCAGCACTCAGAGTGCTATGACACATCTGTCTCACTCCTCCACAGGGTCCACCTGCTGCCCACTGTCTGCACAGGCGCTCGCCAGGTTCTCAGGACATGGCTGCAGTCGGACTAGGGGCTGGTGAACTTGTTGCAGGGACAGAGGACTTGTGGGGAGAGACAGACACATTGAGGAAGAAACTCTTCATACATGTTATTCAGGTTTGTTTTGCCAGAATGACACCAGGGATACTGTTTTTCTTATCAGACATGGAACAACTGTCTTTATTTTTTAAGTAGTTAAGTGCAGTAGAGAAAAACCAGAGCAAACAAGCCTATTTTTATATGCACTCATGCCCCATGCGTGACCCTCCGCAGATCTGTAAATGAAACCACTAGACCACGAGTGGTGTACAAACCTGGATGTGCTTTAGAGTCCCTTCGAGAACTTGTTAAAAATAACATCCAAAGATGCCAACTCACTATGTTACTCTATACAGTGACAGCTCCCCAGGGGTTTGTTTTTCTGGCACTATTAATATGTAAGTTGATATAAAGAGTTAATGGACTAGAGGTGATTTTGATGCAGCCAGGTGTGGGAACCACCAGCACTGATGCTATCTTATTTCAACAGGACAGGAAGCTGGAGCAGAGAGAAGAAATGAGAGAGAAAACACATACCTGTTGGAAAGTCACTGTCCTGAACCTCATTCGCACCATCTACAGAAGCAAAGGAAAAGGCGTGTCAATGAAACCAGGTGCCTGGGACTCACACCAATTAGTTTAAGCTGCACTCAGAACCCCGTTTCTCACTAAGACAGCAAGTTCTCCCAATTGTTCAAAATGTAAAACCCCAGTAAGTTCCACTTTGCCCATTCCCTCTACCAACCCCCACCCGTCAGCAAATCCTGTGGTTTCTACCTCCATACTGAAGCTCACAGTCATCTCCTTCCATTTCTCTCCATTCCAGATCTGGAAGTAAAACACATACACACAGAGTTTCATCAGCAAGTGTGAACTACATGTCCCAGCAATTCCATGTCTGAGTGTGCACCTCCAAAAACTGAAAACAAAGTCTTGAAAGGATATCTGCACACCATGTTCATAACAGCATTACTCACAAGAGCTAAAACAGAAGCAACCGGAGTGTCCATAGATGAATAAATGGATAAACAAAATGCAGTCTGTACATATAATAGCATACTATTTTTCCTTTAAAAGGAAGGAGGTTCTGTCCTAGTTGGTTTGGCTCAATGGGTTACAGTGTCGACCTGCGGACTGAAGGGTCCTGGGTTTGATTCCAGCCAAGGGCACATGCCTCGGTTGCAGGCTCGATCCCGAGCACCAGTCAGGGCCCTTGGGGGAGGCAACCAATCGATGTCTCTCTTTCACATCGACGTTTCTTTCTCTCCCCCCTCCCCCCATTCCACTCGCTCTGAAAAGCAATGGAAAAAAATATCCTCAGGTGAGAATTAAAAAAAATAAAATTAAAAATTAAAATAAAAGGAAGGAGGTTCTGCAAAATGCTGCAGCGTAGGTGAACCTCATGCTGAAGGAAGCCAGTCAAAACCAGACAAATGCTGTAAGAGTCCATTCATAGGAGGTACCTGCAGTAGTCAAATCATAAGAGACAGAAAGTATAATGGTGGGTGCCAGGGGCTGGTGGAGGGGAGAGCAGGGAGTTAGGGTTTAATAGGTACAGAATTTATTGACAGGATGAGTAAAGTTTATGTTGTGGATGGTGCTGATGGGCGCACAACAGTGTGAATGTATTTAATACCACTGAACTGAACACTCAGAAATGGTTAAGATGGTAAATATTATATGTATTTTAACAAAAAAGGAAAACTCTTTGGGGGAGAAAAACATTTTATGGTGAATCTGTGGCATTTAGCAGTCACAAAGTTGTGCCATACCCATTTCTTATCTATTTAGTTCCAAACATTTCCATCACTTGAAAGTGAAACTCTGTCTCCATTAAGCATTTTTCCCACTTGCCTCTTCTCCCAGCCCCTACAGCAAACCTGTGCCCTTTTCCACAGCAGCTGCACCATTTACATTCCCACCAAAAGGGCACGAGGACTGCAGTTTCCCCACACCCTGGCCAACACTTGTTCCTTCCTGGTTTTTTGATAGTAGCTATTCCAGTGGGTGTCAGGTAGTATCTCACTGAATAAATATATGTTTGAATTAATAAAACAAAAAGTGGCTGGCCCAAACTTATTTGCATATTTTGTGGGGTTATTTTTGCATAATGTTATTAATATACAATAGAACACATTCATTTGGAGACGCACCAAATTAATGAAAAATACATCCAAAATGAGTTACTAGGAGAAATTACAATTTCTGGAGTGTGGCCACACCTTAAAGCTGAAGTCATGAGGGGCAGCTACAGCCTCACCCCACAAATCTCCAGAGAAAGAATAACCAGTGTAGGGGGACCATGACCAGAAAGACCACAAGCCCCAATCTGCCCAGGACAGTTCCATTTAATCCTATGGTCCCAACAAAACACACGTTTCCATCTCAGAAGTGTCCAGTTTATAAGCTAGTCAGTCACCCTAGATGTGTCTCAGGGTAGCAGTTACGTGCTCAAACTGGACTGATGTGTCCCAGTGAATGGTGTGACAATCACCTGTTTACCACTGAATCCTGGTTTGAACACATAAGGGGAGTTTAAAAGACCCCAGATGGAATACTCTTGTGAAAGGAAAAACAAAGCCTTACGCTATTTACTTTTGAGGTCCATGATCCCCAGGCCAGGGTGGTGCTGGAATTCACCAGCATCCCAATGGGACAGAAGAAACACACAGGATCTGCTTCGGAATGGGCCCAAGCCCGACTTTACCTGCAATGGCCACAGCTGCTTGTCTCTCAGAGGCTTTTATTTCTGGGGCCACTTCTCCCAAATCTGACTGTCTGAAACAATTTCAGAAGAACATTAAAATTAAAATAATGAAATATCACTTTCCCCTTTCAAATTGGCTGCCTATCAAGATCTCTTGGGGAGCCTTTAAAAACTACAAGTCCCCATTCAACAAAAATTTATTGAGCCTTAAGACACTAGGAACAATGTGAAAAACAGCAGGAGTAAGGCTGGGGGGGGGACAAAAAACAAACAAACAAAAACTACAAATCCTTAAAACCAGAATCTCAGAGGTTTTGAGTCCAGGCCTGGGCATCATTGCTTCTGAAAGTGCCCTGGGTGGTGCAGCCACACTGAGAAGACACTGGTCTAGAAAACCAGCCCTCAGAGAAACCATGAGCCACAGCGTAAACCCAGCCATTCAGAAAGACATAAAAATATACATACCCTCTGACCAGTAAGTCCACTTCTACCCTAAGGAAATAATTAAGATTTAGTTACAAAGATGTTGATGCCAGCTTTATATATCACAGCAAACAACTGGACACATTTTAACATCAAAGTCCAATAACAGGGACTTCCAGTACAGTCTCACTCTGCTACCATTACAAAATATCCTCTGGATCTCATTCTGTAGACAGAACACGTCAGATAAGGTGTTGTGGAGTGGTGCTGGTGGGGAATCAGGTGAGAGTGTGCAGCGTGACGACGGTTCATCTGCAGGTAGACACGGAAGCCATAGGGTGTTCACCCAGAGTGGACAGTGTAGGCAGGGAGGGATGGTCCTGAACTCTTCTAACTAGGTTTGATAAGTATAGTCCACTTCAGAATCAACTATTTTAGGTGTATCACAGGAATGAGTAAACCTGCTGACCTTGTCAGGAGCCAGGGCTCACAAATGAAGAAAGGACACAGAGATAAAGAATGGAGAAAGTCAGACAAAACACTCACAGAGCCGCACTGGGACTGGGTGTCCAAGTGTGAACCTGTGATCCCTGACCGCATGCTTGTGTGCCCATCTGTGTGTACATGCATGGATTTCCTAGCTGTCCACTGAAAGGGCCACAGTGGCAATAAGCACACCAAGCGCCCTTTAATATCACTGCTCAATAAAAGACACCAGGTTTCCGTGGAGCAATGGCTGATGCCGGGCCTTAGTTTTGGAATCCCAGCCTCTGGAACTGTGAGGGAACAGGCTTGTTTGCTCTAAGCCCCAGGCTGTGGTGCTGCTACAGCCCCAGCAAACCGGCACAGTGCCCGTGGCTCTGGGCAGAGGCATTGGCTGCTGCCTGGCCTGGCCTGGGTTCTCCTCTCAAGTGTCTGGTTCTTCTCTGCTGCTTATAAAGACACCAGTCATTGGATTGAGGCCCAACCTTACTCAGGGTGACCTCATCTTAATTAATCACATCTACAAAGAGCCGACTTTGAAAAAAGGTTCCAGTAACAGGTACTAGGGCTTGGGACTTAAGTTTCAGGGGGGACACACATGACTCAACTCACAACAACATACAAACTAGGGGTCATCCCACCTCTGCAAGGTGACCACACATTTTGAAGTTTAAAGTCGTCATGCAGAAGTGGGGACTGAGAAAACACACGAGAAAAGTTTCCGTCAACTGTCATGTGGGGACAAGCAGATATCCGGTATCAGAGCACAGGGACAAGAGCCTCAGGCTCAGTCCCGGAAGCTGCCACAGGGTGCGGGGAGCATGACCCAGGGCCCGACGTCTGCTTGACAGGGGAGGCAACACTGAGAAGAGGCACCCTCCCATTGGGCAACAATGTCCTGGCTGCTGGGCCCTTCAGCAGGGCCCTGGGGCAACAATATTGCAACACCCGAACCTAAGGTGTTCTGAGGAGAGACCTGGTGTACTGAGCACCCAGTCCCGAGTTCACGCTGTGCAAGTTCACCCAATGAGAGGTAATGGCTCTAAACTGCAGCCCTAATGCTCCAGGAACTTCCACTAGAGCCGGGTTGGAAAGAGATTATAAACATTCATCACACAAACTCTACAGAATACACACATGTGATCAACTGAACCAGGAGGCCATCCTAGGCCTGCATCAGATTAGTATCAGGATCCAGAGAGACATACAGACATGAAGTGAGTTTACAGAAGGCAGTCAATGTTCTCTTGGATTTATCCACGTATTCACTTGTTCCCTGGAACTTTTCTAAAAGTCTAGGATGCATCAGTGAAGGACACAAACATCCCTGCTCATCATCTTAGCTCACATTCAACAAGGTGGGGGAGATTGACAATAAACAATTATTAAGAGTTTTAAGCAGAGAACACACTGGGAGATGCTCAGTGTGGTGAATGGGGTAGACAGGGTGCTCAGGGCAGGCCTCCTGGAGCAGCACACCTGCCATACAGGCTTGGCAGAACGTGAGGACATCAGTCATGCAGCTCTCTGGGGAAGGTGGTCCAGGCAGAGGCACAGGCCCATTGGCAGCCAAGGCCCCAGCGAGGCTGGTACAGAGTGAGCAGGAGGAAGGCAGGAGAGGTCAGATGGGATGGAGCTTCTAGGCCCTAAGAAAAGACTGGCTTTGATTCTGAGGATACTCAAGAGTCCAAGCGTCACGTCTTATGTTGACTACAGACATGAGATGAAGATCAGACCTGAGCGGCAGCACCTGAGGTAAAAACGTGGGGTTGGGCTCTGAAATCCCTGTGAAGGGTTTCAACAGACTGGCCAGAGCATGTGAGAAAACAGTCCAGGAAACCTCCAAGTGTTCAGGCTTAACAGGGCTGCCACTGTCTCAGGTGGGAAGGGTTTGGGTGAGCAGGGCTGGAGGGGATCATGAGCGGGTTGGTGCCAGGTGCCAGCCCAGGACACACAGTGAACCCCGCACAGATGCTGCGCAGACACAGGGCTGGAAGGGGCTCGCTGGGCCCAAGGAAGTTAGCCCTCCACCATGTAGGGGACAGACCACAGCCGGCTCCTTCCCTAAAGACACACACTCTACCCACAACAAAGGCAGTCTCAACTTGTTAATGTATCCATGAAAAGAGAAAATAATCACAGTGCTGAGAGATCTGGAAAACCTGAGATCAACTGCAAAAATGACTGCAAACAATGAGCACAGAGAGCTGGGGACACCCAGCTGCCTTCCTGTATACAAAGAGCACTTTAGAAATATGGAAGGGAAACTCCCATTTATAGTCTAGTAGCAACAGGGGAAACTTAGGAATATATGTTATACCTGTGCAACACCTATATGAAAAGACTCTAAATACTAAAGAATATAAGACGAACAAATGAAAAAGCCAGCTGTTTGGGGAAAATAAGGCTTAATATAATTTTTAAAGGCAATTCTTCCTCAATTAGCCTACCAGTGAATTTAGGTTCAAAAACAGATAAGGTGATTCTATGGAGAAATAGTTGTATGACAATAATCAGGAAAACCCTGAAAAATAACAGTAATGAAGGACAAAGCCTGCCAGAGAGTGAGGCACAGCACAGGCAGTGCTTTCAGCTGCAGAGCTGGTCTGTGAACAGAGTCCAATACAAGGAGAGCCCAGAAACAGCCCCAACCAGAGCAGTGTCTGGTGACTATTCAATCGCAACAAGCTGGAAAAATAAAGGTAATCCCTAACATTCCTTTCACTGAAATGAGTACCACATGGGTCTAAGAGTCAAAGTACAAAATGAAACAAAAAATGCACTGAAAGAAAATATTAAAGACTTAAAAAAAATTCTCAGAGTAAAGTCAAAAGGCAAATGACAGATGGACAAAAAGTATTTGTGACACAAATAACAAAAGTCTTGCTTTCTGGATGTACAAACATCTATAAACCCATGAGAAAGAGCCAAGGACATCTCCAAAATGCATCTGGGACTTAGAACAAGACAAGGAACAGAAACCCACTGTGCCTCCCCCCTGGGGACAGTCTCAGCAAGGAACAGGGTGCGAGAGCCCTGAATGTTCATTTAAGTCCCTTCTATACCTTTTGAAATGTGTACCATGTGCATGTATTACCTCTTTTTAAAAATAAGGCAACTGCTCGGCCAGGCGTGGCTCAGCGGTTGAGCATCGACCTGGGATCCAGGCGATCGGGGTTCGATTCCCGGTCAGGGCACATGCCCGGGTTGCAGGCTCAATCAATGACTCTCTCATCATTGATGTTTCTATCTCTCTCTCTCCCTCTCCTTTCCTCTCTCTGAAGTCAATAAAGATATATTTTAAAAATAAAAATAAAAATAAATAAAAATAAGGCAACTAATAATTTTATAAAAAGCTACAATGTAGCGCGGACAGTGTGTCTCTGTGGGTTGGTCCACACACTGATCAGGTTCTATTCCCCTATGGGAGGGAACCAATCGATGTGTCTCTCTCACATTGATGCTTTTCTCTCTCTCTTCCCCCTTCCTCCCTTCCACTGTCTCTATTCTCTCTAAAAATCAATGGGAAAAATGTCCTCCAATGAGGATTAACAACAACAACAAAAGCTACAATATAAGAGAAATCCACAACAGAACCATCATATCTGAACTACAACAGGAAAGGCCTTCCCAACATGCAGGTGAGTCTCAGAAGGCACAATCTAGAGTTGGAATCCTTAAAAGGAAATAGCCACTTCTAAGTTATTTCATTTTCAGACATCTTTTGTAAAACCATCACCAAAGGGACAACCACTCTGCTAATACAGCTTCTTACTCCAACAAACAGTGATAACACATCCATACTCCAGCTTCATGCAGAGAACACAGGAGATATGCCACTTGTGCTCTGTGGTCAGAACAAAATACAGAATCCAACATTTTTGTTTATGCTTCAGTAACCAAATATAAACCAACCATCCTTAATGGGGTCATTTACTATCAAGTTTTAACTTAAACTGCTTAGCTGGGCCTCAGTTTCCTTACCTGTATAATGGGGACAAAAACAGGACTTACTGATAGGGTTGCTATAAGATTCAGTAACTTAATACATGTAAAAACACTGAGAACAGGGCTTTACAACATGCTTCTTGGCAGTAAGATTGGAGGTTCCTCCATGAACAGCCCAGCAGAAATCACAGCCCCCTTCCCATCCCTGCCCTGAGCCACTGCACTGTTCCCACAGCACGGAGTCCAGTAGGCTAAGTAACTGCTGGTCAGCTGACCAGAGAGGGGCCAGAGGATCTCAGGAAGCAGGGTCTCCCTGGCTGGACTCTGACCTACCAGCAAAACCTGCCCAACAGACACATCTGGAGGTGTGGACTATCCCCAAATCTGTACATTGCATAACGGCATAGTTCTCTCTATAAAATGACATAAAGTGTACTAAAGGTTCTGTGACCTCACCTTTGCAGTGGGTACCCCTCAGAAAACTTACAGATTTGTACCAACTTCAGACTCATGGGGTCATTCACAAAAAGTTGAAACTGCAAATATCAAGTCTGCACTAATGCCACCTTCTACGGGAACACAGTTTATGGCGTAGTGCCTCACAGAAGGCCATCCCAGCCCAGCATCAGGTCCACTTC